ATTATTATGCTGTCTCTACCACCCCACACAACTCATAGATTACAACCCTTGGATGTTAGTTTTTTCAAANCATTACAAACTTATTATAACCAAGCAATTGGTAGCTGGATGCAAGACAATCCTGGAAGGGGTGTGACTCAATTCATAGTTTCGAAACTATTTTCCACAGCTTACATCAAAGCATCTACAATGCCAACTGCAGTGAATGGTTTTGCTAAATGTGGTATTTGGCCTTGTTGAAGAACAAGTATTTTGTCCATCAACTTTAAACAACCAATTGATTGATGTTGTACCCACCCAGGAAAACCAAGCAGTTGCGGTTGCAGAAGAAATTGTTCCGTCTACCTTTAAGGAAACCCAATTAAACCCAAGTAAATGGCTTTTGTTCCCAAGGCACTCATTCTTACCGACCCTACGCCCCTAACAGTGGCTTTTAAGCAAAACATTTTCATAATTTGATGTAACTTGTTAAGCAATTTTGTCTTTTCTCTGATTTTGCAACATTATTTAACTATTTCCCAATTTATTATAAAATATGTGCTACAGTCCAAATTAGCAGATACCCTGGTCCAATTTATCCTCTGTGATGGGTAAATTGGACCAGTTACGTGGAATTTTAAAACCAATCCTAAAACCTTACTTATTCATTTAAACTCACAAAATTTGATTTTCGTGAGGTTTACAGCCTTGTGCATTGTGTAAGCATTAAAGATTTGCAACAAGCAATCGGAATTTTGAACTGCAGACATATTTTATTAGGTGGTCCAATTTACCCACCTTTCCCCTACTGGAGAGAAAAAAAAAGTTTCTCAGACGAATTGTCTTGTGCTACTCATAATATGAAAATTCATACTTAAGAGAAACCTTTCAAACTGTGTTTTGGCCATTCAATGCCATTCAATAATCACATAAGAAGGCATAGGCCTTCAGGAGAAATGCCGTTTAAATGTATATTGTCAGGATGATTTAGTTCTCTTAGTTCACTTAGGGCCTACTGTTCACATGAGAATTCATACTAGAGAGAAACTTCATCAATATGATGTTTGTAAAAAGCGTTTTACCCGATCAAATAAAGTGAATGTTCTCATGAGAATACATAGGCTACTGGAGAGAAATCTCACTAATGTGATGTTTCTAAAAAGCGTTTTACTCTGACAGTCTTTTTGAGCACATGAGAGTTCATACTAGAGAAAAACCTTACCAAGGCCATATTTGTAAAAACTACAAAAAGTCTATCTCTATTGTGGAGTAGTTGAGAATTTTAAATTTTTATTGTGAAATGCCTATTTCAAGTAGGCTACCATTATAATTCGACAGTGGTTTGGAATTGACGTCATTTGCCTCATACTACGATACATATCGCGATATAATGGAATATTTAGTTCACATTGAACATTCGCCATTCATTCGTGAAAATTCTGCGTTCATCAACCAATGAACTCAAAAAATCTACATTCAATCCATAAATAATTGTTTGAGTATATGAGTGGTCCGAGTTTGTTATGACATGCAATGTCATAGTCAGGGGTTCGGACTACATTTTCGTCTCCATTTTCTCGCGAGACCACTAGCGTGCGCATGCGCAATTAGTCTAAATAAACGCCATTTTCTAGGAGTACAAATGTTATTCTTAAAAAATGACAACATTTGCTGATCATTTTTGGGTATGTGACATGAAATATTAATGCATATTGTCCAAATGATACATTAGTCGAATCTTATTTAATTTCCCTCATTGAAATACCAGCCAGCTCTTTACAACTTGATATGAAGTAAAGGGGTGTGTGTCAAACCGAAATTTTCAATCTGAGACAAGTTTCACAATATTTTTCCCTAATTTGCTTCACCTCTGGCGTCTCGATCAGAAGCCAAAACACTACTCATATGAGTGAAGCATTTTCACCACCCAGTCCATAGCCATACTAATTCATATGGTGTAGCTTGTTTACTTATTACAAATTTATAATTTCTGTCTGACACTGACGTTTTCTTATTAGGCCTAACTGTAGTCAGTAGTCTTATTTGAAGACTTCTTAAAAATATTGAAAACATAATATGAATATATTATTAGTTTTATACACTTCTTTTATTTGGGTAGATTTAATCTTTAATCTTCAAATAACAAGTCTAATCAGTAATATGCTTGCAGCAAACAAGTGTAGTACAGAGACAAGTTTG